TTGAATGGTCGTACCGGGCCCTTTCGGCGCAGGGGGGGAAACATCTGACCGGCCTCCCGGAGGCGGTCTCGCGGGGGAGGCTCCGAGCACGTTTGGCCTTGGTCCTGGGCGCAACCTGAGTGGCATCCGGAGGGCCTTGGTCTGAAGAACCGGAGGGAGGGTGAGGGTGCCCTGAGATTTTGTTAGTCTTCCGTTGTGGGGCCTTGGGAGGCTGTGTGGAGACTGGCTGCGGGGCCCCAGCCGTCTGCGAGGCAGCAGGTTTGTGCCGCAGGGCCTGGGCTGAGCTAGCCCGCCTCACGGCCTTCGGAGCGGGCTGGTTGTTCCTTCCCTTCTTGCCTTTGCCCTTACGGGAGGGCTGACCCGAGGTGCTAGGCACATGAGGGGAGGAGGCCTCAACCCTGTCGGCAACACCGAGATCATCAGCTGGGCCAGGAGTGGGCGGGCGGTAGCCAGAAGAGCCGTCAGCGCCCCTAGTCTCCGGCCGGCGGAACACCTGCCGGAGGGTGTCTTGGGTGGTCGTCTCTTTGAGGTATTTCGCAGCCCATTGCGTGCCCCGTTTCTTGTGGGCGCGGGAAGCTCCCTCACACTGCATTTGGGACACAGCCGAGGGGTTAAGCTGCCCTGGCTTGTGGACCGCATAGCATTTGGTGCACAGGAGGACAGCCCCCATGCAGTAGAAAGAGTGGGACGCATGCAGCCCATAACTGCCGATATCAGGCATCGGCCGATGAGCGCACGGCTGCGCCTCCAAACGCCGAAAGGCCTCAGTTGAGTGGGTCTGTTGGATAAAGAGGGAACAGACCTTACAAATGAGGGAGTGGTTGTTGGGGTTCGTGTGGCTCCACTCGAATTGCTGCCCGTGGTGGCCTTCCCCTGCCATGAGGGCTTCCAGGCGTTGTTTTTTGTTTACACCCCCATCCGCACCAGGTCGATGCTGCCTCTGAGGGGGTTTGGCCTGTTTCGACTTAAGCCTGGCGTCAGGGCGGGGTGACCCCTTGCCCTTTGCCGGACTGGCACCGACGGCCTCCCATGGGGGCCTGTCAGTGCTCAGGAGTAGCACTTCGGCTTTGCGTTGGAGGTGCTGCGCCACCTCTCTCGCCAAATCATCCGCAGGGGATGGATCCCACAGTGGCAAGTGAGCGATTGCGGCCAACACAGCTTCGCCACACGCTGCGTCAGCCTGGGCGTTGATAGTCCGGCGCCAGCTCTGGTCAGGGCCGAATTCGGCCGCATGTTCAGCCACCGTGGTGTGGGACCTGGTCCACGTGACTTGCGCCAGAGACGCGTCATCTAGGGCCTGGGCCCAGACCCAGGGCTTTACAGCGCGTGACTGCTGTTTGGCCACCGCACTGCAGTCGGAAGTGCAATCTGCCCGCTCCTCCAAATGCGAAGCGAGGCGTGCAACCGCGAAGCACTCCCCTTCGCACACAGAACTCCCCGGAGGGAGGATGCCTGTGAGTTGGCCAACCTGGAGAGGGGCACCCTCAGTCCAGGTGAAAGCGCAGATGGCCCAGGCCACTATCCTGCCCCTGGCATCTGCCGCATAGGGTCCGCCAGAAGCGTCCGTCGAATAGAAAAGCCCCTTAGGCCACTTGGCGTCTTTGCAGACTCCATCGGCGCGTTCCGACGGTGGGCCCCATCTGTACCCCTGGATCTGGGTGGCCTGAGACGGCATGAGGCCTCGTTCCCATAAGCAGTCGAAGGGGAACTGGGTGGTAAGGCGTTCCCAATGCTTGGGAGGAGGGGGGGCTTTACCACGCCACCATCTGCATTCCGTGGCAACGTGGTGCTGGGTGAGAGGCACCTGGCACAGTGGGCATTGCTGGCCTGCCTGGACATACCGGTTTTTCAAAGCTCCCTGCCAGACCATTCGCAGGGCGGCAGACTTAGTCCGAGGGACCTTTTTCACAAGGGCTGTGGGAACCGTTGTGTCCACACCAGAGGCCAGGCTGCTGCAGCCCGCTTGGGTGCTGATGGCCTTCCACCGGGCCTTGTGGCAAGCGCTGGCCAGGCAAGAGAGGATGGCGGACCGTGCCTCCGCAGAAGGGGGTTGAGGGCCACCATCCCTGGGTCATCCGGGACCCCTGCCATGGTAGCACGACACAGGTCGGCGGGGAAGAGCCAACGATCCGGGGTGGGAGCCACAAGCCCGAGATCCAACAGATAGGCTATCATGGCCCCCAGCGGTCCGCAGACCACTCGCCATCTGTCTTTCCGTTGGAGCTGGGTAGTGAGCTGCGCCCACGTGCGGTCCAGCTGCGCTCGGTCAGGGAGGCGCACCATCACCCGACACAGAGCCTTAAAGTGCTGGGTGACCACAGACACACGGGGGTCCTTGACCAGCCAGGCGCCAAGTTCCAGCGCAATTTCAACGCTGCCCGTGCCAACCTTGCCAGTGATGGCGGCAGCTTGGAGTCGCACCGATTTCATGGTTTTGGGACTCACCCCTTGGGCCTGGTGTCCCCAGATCCCCGATGCCAGCACGGACATGGAAAAAAACCCGGCTGCTAGCCTTGATGTTGCGGACCTTAAGGCTGCGTAGCTTGCCCAGTCTGGCATTGGCTTTAGTCCGACGCGCAGTGGAAAGGCGGGTGCAGCGTCTCCTGCCAGCTGACAGCGTCATGCCCAGGTCTTTGGCAACACTCTGAATGGGGGGGTCACCCTCACCCAACTTTCTCCGCAGGGCGCGCTCGGCTTGGGGACTGCTCGCCAGGAAATATCTTGCCAATAGATACCTGGTACCCGGCGTCGGAGAGTGAGGCATGAAGCCGTCGGAAAACCAAGATGGCGGAGTTCGCTGCTTGGTCCGGGCTGTGATGTTCAGTATCTACCGTGATGTCGTCTATCCACGTGTCTACGTGGTTGACATGCGGTCCAGAACAACACTGCCGAATCGGCTCGCCCACAGCGAGTTTGCTCAGGGTAGGGGCTAATGGGCAGCCCGCTATAATTCCGCGGCGAGCGAAAGCAACGGGCGACGCGACTTCGTCGGAAAGGATCACTCTGCCGCCGCGATACGATTCCATAGCAAGGAAAAGCAAAAGATCCGGGAATCCGGCAGTGAGCGCGGCGTCACAGAGAGTGGAGTGAACCACAGTCTCATAAAAGGTACTCAAGTCGACAAACAAAGAGCACCGATGCAGACCGTCGACGCGCGCGGCTTCGTAGCAGACGCCTCTCCGGAGGGAGGCATCGTAGGTGGAACGCTCTGGCAAAGCGCAGTCCCACCAGAGCTCAGCGCGGTAGTCGCGAAGCCACGCCTCAACTAGGTGCCATCTTGCCTTCATCCCTAGCTTCAGGAGCGAAGACATCAAACCAATCGGTCTTTCGATCTTCTCGTTTTTCGCGAGCATCGTGAAGATGGTGAATGTCATCTGCTGTGGCACCTCTCCCGTGGTTTCAATTTCCCTCCAAAAGGAGGCAAGGGAGGAAACCTCACCCGGGGTCAAGGCTTTGAGCAGTTCCAGGGACCAGCCATCCACGCCTGCCGCTTTCAGGGGCAGGCGACGAATGAGCCTCTGGAACTCCTCCCCAGTAACGGCCGGGAGTTCCTTGGCTTGCGCAATGGCCCGTTCTTTAATAAGGCCCTGGATGGGAGGAGGAGGCTGGCCCTTCGACTCCCAGAGGCGAGCCCACTGCTGAAGCCTGAGGTAAGGCCGGGCCTCGGCCGGTTCGTCCATGAAGGGGCGGGCAACCTCAGCCTCCTGCTTTTTGACCGTGCGGAAGAGCGGCCGGAGGCCTTTCACGGAGGCCCCAGTCAGCCACTCCTGGTATAGTCCCGTGTCTCTCGGGACCTGGCCTCCTCGATGGCGGCCTGGCACATACTCCTGACAACCGCGCGGATCCCAGCTCGGGAGTCCCCGTTGGTTTTCCCGGTGCAGATCGCAGCTTCCGGGCAGGGGCAAGAGATGCCGGCCCTCACAAGTTTAGCCTGCAACGCCTCCTTGCATGAAGAGGGGAAAAACCGCCGAAGGGCCGCGAAGCGGGCATCGCTGGTACCTGGGTTGTCCCAGGCAAGTTGCATCTTTTGCCACCAGGCTGCCTCTCTGCCGTGCCATGGGTAGCCCTCCTTCGGTTGCATAAGGGGTTTGTACACGAAGGGCCGGGCGCACCCACGCCCACCAGGTTTGGTGAAATGCTCAACCGCAAACCTGTGGGTGAGTTCGGCGAATTGGCGGTTGATCGGAGTTCCCTGGATCACCTCGGACCCAAAAGTCCCAAGCGTTGGGCCGCCAACAGGGGTTTGGGGAGGAGAGGTCAGATCTTGAGTAAGGCTGTCAAGCCGACCGCCGGCCCCTGCTTGGGGATTGGTCCTGTCAGCTTTGAGCGCCCCAGGGAACGCTGGGAGATGCCTCACAGCGACTTGGCCCCCGGGAGTGTTGAAGCAGCATTCCAGGGCAGCGTGAGGCCGGAAAGGCACTTGCCAGCTGGCTGCACAGGTCAACAAAGAAGCTACACTAGTCGAAACCAGGGCGAAATCAAGACAGTTGCCTGTGGTGATCGTCGCCTCCGGAGGGGCGACAATCCGCCCACGGAAAGCCTCTGGCAGGGAGGTCTCCGCCAGTTCCTGCGAGGGGAAATTCCAGTCCCCAACCACAATCCAGTTGGTATTTTGGCGCAGGAGGGGCTTCAAACGGGCGAGGACTTCCGGGTTGGGCGCCTCTGTGATGCCAACACCTGATTTCAGGTACAGGTTGACCAAAAGGAGGGAATGGCGGACCCTGGGGAGCTCGACCAGCAAGAAGCCGATCCCTTCGTCAGAGAGGTACCCTCCTCTGAAACGGCCCTGTTGATGGATGGGCACAAGTGTGGCCAATCCCCCTTTCGTGGGCCTGGGGCCCTCAACCGGGGGGAGGAAAGTATGGTACCCTCTGGCTAAAGCCTCAATGCGCAGCTTTTTGGCACCTTCGTCTCCCAGGTGCAACTCCTGGATGAGAAGGGGCCCTTTTTGCGGCTGGTGCCATTTGAGGATATCCGGAGTCCACGCGGTGATGTTGGCACTAACAAACACAACGGACTCCCGCCAGGTCGTCCAGGAAAGCCGCGGCAGTGATGGGGTCCAACCATGAGTGGCCTTGCATGGCCTCGAGAATCTCGTAGGAGACCCGGTAGCCCAAGCTGGCCTCGTCAGCTCCTTCCAGGGCCTCAGCTAGGGCCAGAGCCTGGGGCTCCGACTTGCTCCATTCTTTATTCGCCCTGAGATCATCCGCAAGCCCTGCAGCAAGGTCCTGAACTGTCTTTTCTTCAGGCTTAAGGCCTGGGAGGGGCTTGCCCCCTTTCCCCCGGCAGCTAGGCCTCCGCTTCCTGAGTCTCGGAGGAGACCGTCCGGGAGGAGGGAGACTCCGCCCGGGGTCACAGGGGGGGGAAGGAGGCGGGGTGGAGCCCTGTTCCTTTGGTCTGGCACTGGAGGGCTCGGGACCAGAAGGCCAGGAGTGCCAGAAAAGAGAGTTGGCATGTAGCCCGGCGGGCAGCGCGATGTTTTCGAGTGGACTCCCAGAGGAAGTCTTGCTGCGCTTTACGCCGCCGACGTGGGCAGTGGGCCTTGCTGTGAACCCCGCGCGGCGGGCTGGTGTCCAGGGCCTTGGCCAGACAGAGCATAGGCCTGGAGGTGGGAATGGGTGGGGTCAACTCCGAACCCGTGGAAGCCTCTCGATGCCCCTTGGCAGCACCTCCAAGGTACCACTTGGGGCGGGGGGCTCCTGCTCAGAATCCAGGGCCCAACCAGTTGGAAAAAATTTTGGCCCAGAGAGCCTGGAAAATTGCGGAGCGCGCTGGTTGTCCGAACACGTTGGCGTGAGGACAACCTGCGGCGCCAGGGTTGAAGAGAAGGGGGTGGTTGACCCACAACCCCTAGTCAAAAGGCCGTTCCTAGGCCTCGAGGAAAGAGGCTGAACGGGCGCCATGAAACCTCTAGCAGGCGCTGACTCCCAACGCAGCGCCGACGGGGTTTTATGGAAGATTTTGCACTGCGCGCAGAACAAGTGAGTGCTGCCTAGATCGTGCAAATCAAACTTGCAAAACTTGCAAAAAACTCTACTCTTGTGTGACACCTGGCCAAGGTAGGGTGGCGGACCACTCCCCCTCGCTGAGAGAGCAAGTTGATTGTTGGAGTAGGCCTGCAAAACCTCCAAAGACGAGCGGAAAAGGGCCTGATTGGGCAGCTGCCCTTGCAAAACCTGCCTGGGGGCCCGAGGCCCGGAAGGGGCCAGAGAGAAGGCAGGGTTCCCCTGGCCAAGGCGCCCCTATTCGGGGTTGTCGCTGCCTGCGGCTCCCTCTGGCTTCGTCCCTTCCAAAGGGGTAGGACGCTTCCAATGCGGGTCGGCGGGCAGGGCCGTACATGGTGGGCATCTCCCGCGGGAAGTACTCATCATGCCCTCGGAATTTCACAATGAAGGGGTCCTCAGGGAGGTCCTCCTTTCCGACCAGGGCAGCCTTCATCTTGGCCCGGGTGGCCTCATTGAGCTCATGGCCGGCCTCCGAGAGGACCGCCTCCAGGGCGCTGAAAGCGGTGCTGGTGGAGTCCGCCGTCATATCTTTGAAAGCCCTGGCCGTCTCCTGGATCTCGACATCCTTGGCCATGATGTCCTTATCCACTTGGTCCACGTCCCCAATAAGCTTTTCCAGTTCCTGCTTGAGCTTGTCCGCTCGAGCCTGGAGCTTGGCCTTTTTCTCTACCAGATTCTTCATCTGGTTGGTGGCCTTCTTGAAGTCGCTGACACACCTTGTCAGCTTCTCCTGGGGCGTGGGTTCTGGCTGGTCGAGGTCCTCATCTGGTGGAGGGGGGATTCCCGCGGCCTCCAAAAGGGTCTGGACGTGGAGCCCTGCCCCCGCGTAGACCATGGCGCTGGCAGCGTTGTACTCCTTCTCAGTCATCCTACCCTTAAGAACGGACTGAAGGTCAAGTCCCGGCGGGGGGGGGCGGTGGCCCTTTCGGCCGAGGTGGGCTGTACCCGACCTCCTGGAAGGCTTTCTGTGCAGCCTCAGGGAGCACTCGGCAAGAGGAGGATCGACCTCACTCAGAACGTGCAGTAAAACAGCCTACCGGGCCGCCCACCAAACCCTTGCCTGCTGTCAGGCCTACGACCTTTACCAGGTTGGGTTTGGGGACTCTTCGAAGCCTCTAGACAAAGTGGGTCCCAAGGCTAAAAGGCCACGACGGCACTGCAAAGTCTGAGCCGAAATCTTGAGCCAAGGAGCATCTTTCTCGGTCTTGCGCACAGAGTCGCGGCCCGTGAGGGCAAGTCTGAAGGCTGTACTCTGACAGCCAAAGAAGCAGCTTCCTTGTGTTAAGGAGCGCTCAGGCTAGGTCCTACTCTCTAAGACCCCCGACCTCCCAGTTCATGCTGGTGAGGTATGCGGAGGGAACTACTTCAGGTCCTAACACAGGTCCTACCTCCCGGTCCCTGCCAGTGAGGTTGAAGAAGCAGCTCACTCAGCCTGTAGGCCCTTTCCCTCCCACCATTAGGGAGGTTCTAGGAAGCCAGTCCCTCCCAGGGAGAACCAAGACCAGCAAGGGCCGCTTTCTCCAGGGTGGGCCAGACCCCCTAGTTGTGGAGAGCTTTAGGTGAGCTGGCCGTGCCCCGCTGCTCGGTAGGGAGGAGAACCCCCCAAGGCTTGGAGCAGAGAACCTAAGACTCACGAGCTTGGGTTGGACGCTGGGCGGCAACTGAGGTGGCCCTTGCGTTCTCGCTCTTACTAACAAGGGCCAGAGCACCCATGCCGCAGCAGCTCTGGGCACTCGGCTACCTCTGCCAACCAACTCCACCCCAGTAACGGGCAGTGGAAGCAAACTGCCTTGGCTAAAAGGCTCGAGCAGCAGAGTGACCACAGGCCCCCTGTCTGCCGAGAGACACCTCAACTCGGAGGGATCCGCCGCGAGGCTCTGCACGATCCGCGCCAAACTAACAGAGCTGTGCAAGCGGTGTTTGCACTGAAAGGCGAGGCCCAATCACGGCCAGGCCAAAACTGAGAGGGTCTATGCAGAGACAGTGAGCGCGCACTGCCTTCTGCACTGCGGTTGGGTGCTGGCCCCCTGCGCGGGCCTGTTCACGCTCACAAGGCGGCCTTAGCCAACCGTCCACCCTCGGCAGCTGAAACCAAAACCAAAGCGAAAAAGTCAGCCGGCACTAAACCCTCTCAATGAGCGCGAGGGCAAACGCACCCCTTACTATGCACAAACGCGCAGGAGTCGACGCTCCCCTCATCAAGCGCGGGGACCACGCCGCACCAGCTGACCCATCACCCTTGCTCGGGCTGCAGCTCAGGCAGGACCCACGGTCTGGACAGGCCTGGGAACCTGCTGCCAATAAAGAAGCAAGCGCTTAGCCGCACTTGCCATGCCACCCTGAAAAGGAGTGGACTAAGGAAAATCCCAAATACTTGGCTCAGCTCGACGCCAAGCACAGGGACGCAAGAGCCCGCAGTAACTCCTGCAAATGTGACACCTGCCCGCAGACAGGTTCGGCCCAACCAAGCTTGAAGGCGTACTGCAAGGCCCTCAAGCGGATGACCGAGGCTAAGGGAGCTAAAAGGAAGATCACCTCGAGGCCGGTGAGATGAGCTTCCTGCATGTCCAGAATGCAAGCTCCTGAATTGGCGGCTCACTACAAGGCCCACCGCCGCCCTAAAACCAACCCTAAACCCAACCAAAGCCGCCAAGGGAAACCACCTGGAGGAGCCTCCACCACCTTGGTGGTCCTCACGCTTGCCGTCACTTACCCACACCACACATGTAGGCAATCCTAACCTTTTCGTTGCTTGTCGGTAAAGACCTGCCTCCATCTGTTCTCCTGCCCAGGTAGGCATGGTCCCAGGAGTGCACTGCATGCATGGCCGCACGTAGTGAAAGCAAACGACTAACACAGCTGACTCTGGTCTCATGCAGTAAGTCCAGGGCACCGACTGGGTGCTTGCTCAAGTTTGCCTGGGGTGAGCTCGCAGCGTAGAGACTGCCACCCGCTCCAGACTGCTCACCAGCTTGGCCCGGCCCTGGGTGCTTAGTGTCCCTGCACCAAGGAAAACCCTCCAAAAGCCGTGGCTTTTGACCGTGAAGACAGAAGGGCGAGCACGCCAAACTTGAGCCACAATGTCCCCCCTCGTAGGGTGGGTCCGCGTCTGGCGTTGCTCTACCACCCACCACAGGGGGACGTACCCCCTTGGCGCGGTGGACAGTTCCCCCGAGGGCCGAGCCCTTTCCGGTGGGAGCTGGCAAGTCCCTTGGGTGGACGTATCCCCTTCGTGAGGTGGATTGGTCCCCCGAGGGCTGAACCCTTACCGGTGGGAACAGGCAAGTGGGAGTGATGGCCCGAAGAAGCACAGCTACAAAGCCTGGGATTCACCTGTTTGGGGTCTCTTCAGCACACAGTTAGAGCCCAGGACTGTTTGCAGACAACTACTTCTCCGACCACGAGATACAAACCGCCGATTCTGAATCGGAATATCCCCGAAGAACATAATAACCGGTTTCCCTGTCTTTCGGCATACCCTCGCGGATGGTCTCCACCAGCAAAGCAATGTACAATCCTTCACGCGCAACCTCTGTGAGTGCAGCGAGTTCGGCTTCCGCACTGGAGAGTGCGGTGGTCGTTTGTTTTCTGCTAAAGCTCTTGAGGGCACAGTTTTCCCAAGTGATAATACCCCCGCTCACCGAATTCAGACTCCAACTGGCGTCCGTAAAACAAGATACAGAGGCAGGGTCCGCATCATCTTCCAAGATCTCCCTCTGACTCGGAAACATCTGGACTTTGTGCGGAAGACCCTTGACCCAACGAAGGACATCCCTCATACAGGTCTCAGCAGCCTCATCAGGAGCTGCCTGGTGACGGCCCAAAAACCCACACACAAACTGCAGGTCTGGTCGAGAAAGAGCCGCCCAGGCCAAACGGCCCAAAGTCCTCCTGTACCTTTCGTGAGCAGCCGGGCTGATCAACTCAGTCTGGCCTTTCTTCAGCAATTCAGCGTAGCGGCGTTCGAGGGAAGGGAGCTTTGGGGCAGGCTTGGTGATTCCGTACTCCTCGCAACAGGAACTCAAGTACTGTTCGTCTAGCCCGAAATACACAGCCCGCTCTCCTTTCTTACGGCGGAAAATCCTCCGACCGAGAAACGAAACTTCACCAGGGCAATCCTGAATCAACTCACCCGTAAGTTTCAGTTTGTATTTCTTTCGCAGCTCCTCATAGAACCTGCGCCCCTCTGCTTCATCTTCACTGTAGATAAGCAAGTCATCCACATAAAATAACACAATCGTCAAACCCTTCTTCGTAAGACGACGGAATATAGTGGGGTCCAAACTTGCTTCGAAGTTCTGAGAGCGCAAATATTCTGACAGTTCGCAATACCATGATAATGGAGCAGAGCGTAATCCGTTCATCGCTTTTCTAAGTTTGACGAAGACTCGTTCCCCAGTGCTCTGGGTGCTCACATTATTCGGCAACTCTACGAATTCTGCCCTCGCTACTGGTGCATGCATGAACGCCACGGAGACGTCGCAGGATAACACACTGCCGCGTCGGCAGAGCATGGAGAGTAGCAATCTCAGACCCTCCAATGAAGTCGTAGGAGAATATATTCCCTCACTCAAGGTGGTGCCGCCCATCGCGGCAAAGTCACGCACGACTAATCTGGACCTATACAGTCCCTTGCGTTTGACCGTATTGACCCAACGGCTCGTGAGCACACGCCGTCCGTTTTCCTTCGCAAGACGCCGAGCTTCTCGCTCGGGGATCACTTCCCCAACCTTGAAGGATTCCAATTCCTCCAATTCAAGCTTCATGGATGCATACAGCAGGTCTGGTTCTAGTTTCTCTCCAGAAGTCTCCGACACAGCGTTCTGTGGAACAGCACACCTGATCTTAGTACCGCCAAACTTCAAATCAAACGACTTAGAAACGGCAGAGGATGTTGCTCGAAGGTCAGGCCCTCGAAACAGAGACTCAAGATGGTGATTCGTGAGCCAGTCTATTTCCATATCCCCCTCATCGTTGATGACCTCTTGGTTCTCAGGGGCCTCCGAAGGAGAATAGTCAGCTAGCTCTTCTTCAATCATCTCTTCATCACCATCTTCATCCATGACTTCCCCAGCCCCCTCATCAGGAGCATCATCACCAGGGGCCTCCAAAGGATCAAACATGATGGGCCTCTCGGGGTCCTCAGTGTCCAGAACAAGAGGCTGAGCTAAAGCTAGTTCTTCCAGGGTCTTGGCATCGTAGATGTCACCTCCCTGAATCATCCTGGCTGCGGGGAATACATCTATTTCCCTGCTTCCGACAGGGACGGCAAAGATGCCGCCACCTTTGGCGTGCACCGGTCCCAGATAGACCGCTTTTACGGTTCGGGCGCCTCTGAACTTATCATGGTGCGCCTTGGGCTTACTGACCTGAGCTTGTACCAGACATCCAAACGGCCTCGTGCGAGTCCGGTTCACAATCTCCTCATGTAGCCGATCAATGCTGGTGCTTGAATCCCCAATGCTGGTACACCAGAGGTTGTAGCACCTAGCAACATAGAACACACAGGCTTGCCAAAGCAAACCCCCCAAAGGAAACTGATACTTACCAAGTTCCACGGCATCACCTTCCTTCACCTTAGCAATCTCTTTCTCAAGGTCCAACCAAACAGACCAGAAACCCTGCTTCATAGTTTCAACCTGCCGCTCAATCGATCCCTTCGACTGGGGCCTGTAGCCCGGAACCACGTCAATCAAAGTTGCGCTGGCTGGGCTACTTTCGCACTTGGTGAGTCTCTCGGCAAGGGCTCCAAGAGCCGCTTCTTGGTCCATCCGAAATGTAACCGCTTTACCGACTAACCCCATTTCGCGAATAACACGGTTGATATTGTGGAGCAGGTCAGGGTCATCAAGATGCATAGCAGGAAGGGAGACAGTATATCGGGAACCCAAATGCATAAGGAGGAGCACTCTCAGTTTCCCGAAATAGAAAAAGTCAAGGCCTATCGTTTGGTTTTCTATCTGAAGTTTTCTTCTCAACCGACGCGCAGGAACGCGCCCTTTCGAAGCACAACAGGTCTCACAATTCGAATCGAAAGGAAAGTGTCCCCGACTACGGTGGTTATACAGAGACACAGACGACAAAGGGATCCGCAGGTCCTCGTCGGCTTCCGATCCAGGGTCTCCGCCACCATCGGGGGGCGACGGTCCATTCTCTTTTCGAGGTTTCTTGGGTGCGCCAGAAGACGACTCTCGAGGATCTGGGTCCTCATCAAAGATTCCTTCAGGATCTAAAGGATTACGACTAGAAGCTTCAGGTTTTGAGGAAGTTGCGGGAGCAGGTCTTGAGGAAGGTTCGGGGTCCAAGTCAAACGGATCAGAACGTGTACCGGTCCCCGGCGACGGTAAACCTCTAAAGCGCACGGCTCGGAGCACGTGCTCAACTTGTTCCGTCTTCTTTGCCGGGGCCGGTTCATCATCTCCGGCACAAAGCATGCACAACATGCCACAACATGCGCACTTCAAGCTTTCAACGACATGCGTGCAAAAACGCTGCCCAAAACCTTTCACCTCACGACTCAAAAGAAGTTTCCTACTCACCTCGAAGCGGGCCCAACGGTCCCGCAGCTTAATCCTAAAGTAGCTTCCGCGTTTTCTAGAAAACACCCTGTAGAACTTGCGTGGCCTCTTTCGCGAAACCACTTTTCTGAAACACCGAAGTAACCCTGAAGAAACCCACAAAGCTATACCACAGAGGAGGCTGTAGACCGTCAGGAGGAGCACGATGATACCAAGATCCAGTCCTGGCGTGTACCCATTCCTGAAAGTGGCTGTGGTCTCAAAGGTGCGGGTTTCGAAGGTAGGAGGGTTCAAGGTGCGTTGTGTTGGTTTTCGAGCACAAGCAACATGCCACAGATCATGCCAACGCTCATGCCACACAACATGCTGCTGCAAAGCGTGCTGATGCAAAGTGTGCTGCTGCAAAGCGTGCTGATGCAAAGTGTGCTGCTGCAAAGCATGCTCTCCGGAAAAATCTTTTGAACTCCAACCCCTCGGTGCGGATCGCCGCAGAATCAATCCTCCAAGAGATCTGCCTCGCCTGCGCAGTCACTTGACTGTGGCTGAAAGATGGCGGGCTGAGCACAAATGCCCGTTCCTGGGCAGTCTGTCCTGTGGCGGGAGCACTCAGAGCCCTCGGAGGCGTTGGTAGACGAGATCTCGGTGGAACAGACGGAGGAATGTTCACTCCGTGCCTCTGAAAATCCTCTCGCTGCATCCCCTTCGGAAGCGTGGGCGCCGCAACTCGCGGGAGCCCAAAGGTGGCTGCAACGAGCTGTCCGGGTGCCACCGAGGACGGAGCCGGACTCGAAGGTGCCGGACCAGGTGCCGACTCCCCTTCCGGGGGCGGATTCCCAGCCTCGGCCCCAACAAAGCCTTCCAATTGGGACAGCCTCTGCCCTGTAAGTTCTTCCAGCGTCCGCCATATTGCGATGTCTGATAAATCTTCTTGGCTCTGGGCCCTGTTCAGCGCCATAACTTCTCCTTCTCCAAGGAGCAAGGACTCCTCGTCGGAGCTCGAAGAGGAGGTGTCCACAACACCTACGCCCTCCATCCTTGAGCCCTGAGGGGTCGCTGCCGATTTGGCACTTGCCGCTCGCATGGATTCCCGGGCCTCGTGGAGGCGCTCCTGCTCCCGTTTCCGTCTGTAATACCGGGCAACACGGAGGTATATGCCTGAGTCTAGGTATGCCCAAGCAGCTTTGAGCTCGATCGAGGTGACCGACTTGGGCACCTTTACGAGCAGACTCGATCGCGCTCCCACCAGTCCCCTGTATCCAGCAGGCGTAGCCAGATAGGTTTGCAATACAGATCGACAATGGAAGAGATAATGGAGGATCGATACAGCGTCGGGTTCCTGGAACCTTCGTTTCCACGCCGTCCGAGCGCCCCTTGGAGCCTCCAGAAGTTCGGTAACCCTGACTGCGAACCCCACGTCCTCCATATGAAGCCCGTACTCTGCTAGGCTCTTGCCCTCTAGGCAACGTCCCAACCAAACCTCCCACTCCTGCTGCCCAATGATACATTGGGCTTCCGATTCCACCATCTTCGGCCTCGAAACCCTCAATGGTTCCTCTGGATAGGCCGCTGTCACCGGAATCACTGGAGTGGCTGGTAACCAAGCAGCTGGATGCTCTAGGTCGGGCAGGCCTATCGGACCGAGCATCGTTGCCGTCGGAGAGCAAAGTGCTCTCAAGGCGTGCCCTGGAGCAGAGAATGCTAGGGATGGGGCATCGTAGGCATCGTCCATGTTCACTGGAGGACCCGCCAAGTGCGAGAGCAACGGAACAGGTTCGGTAGAGTCGACCGAGACCTTTGCAATGCCTAGTGTTTCCGCAGCCTCCCACCTGCGGCCAGCCTCCAGCCTCAACGCTCGCAGGAGGAGTTGGGTTCCCACATCCATCTGAAGAGCACCAAACGGCGGGCTCAGCGAGCCCGGCAAGATGTTCGCCGGAATTCCAACCCGAGGGGGCGTAGGCCCCTCGACCTCTGAAGGAACCCCAGCGCGCAGGCGCTTCGAGGGATTCGGCCACGAGGGGCCCCAACTCTCCTCCCCTTCGCTCTCTCAGAACAAAGCGCTCTCTGCAACATCCGCCTTCAGCGGACTCCTCGCAGTATCCTCCTCCACAGGGCTTCCAGCCGCATTCACCCGAAAGGGGCTCCCAGCAGCCTCTGCCTGCGAAGGGCCATCTGCAGAATCCGCCAGCAACGGGCTCTCCGCTGCTTCCGTCACCACTGGCGACGGGTAGATAGCCACCGGCGACGATGGTCCCCCACCCGGCGGCTCGACCCCCGGTAGTTCGAAAGAGGGGCTTTCTAAAGCCGGTGGAGTAGGCGGTTTCCCCGGAGAGCCTGGGCTGCTCACAGCCAGGCTCGGGGTGAATTCGTCCCCACTCATAGCACTCATGGTGAGAAACGGCTGCAGAAGCATTCAAACCGACCATGCAACTCATGCACAGCGCTTGCAGCAGGCTGCCGATCCTAGAAAACATGCGGAAATCCCTGGGCACCTTGGGTACTTTCGACCTTTTCACCCTCTTGTGGCTGAAGGGTCTGTCTTCTCTACTTTCCATCAAGCAAGACCCAGCCGCCATCGGCATCGCTCTCAGCATAGCTCGAATCTGGAACTTCGCTGTCGTGGGCACGTAGCCACTGCAACCCAGACCAATGTTGAATGCAGGCCCAACAATAATGATGGGTGTGAGCAGGTTTGCGTCTGATGCAGAGCTGCTTTCCGCACACCTCGCACCGGTGCTCGCATTCTTGCTTTGACCCGCCCAGATAGTTTCCCATAGCAGGAAAAAGAGGCGTATGCCGAGTCGTTCTGCAAAAACCGTAAGGGTAAAAGCCCGCTTGAGCAATCGCAAAATCATGGAAAAACATGCCCAAAACATGCAAAGCACCATGCCAACATGCGACTGTTTCCTAAAATCAAGAGCCATGCCAACATGCGACTGTTTCCTAAAATCAAGCGACATGCCACCAGGCAACTGTTTCCTAAAATCAAGCGCCGTGCACTGCCTAAAGTCACTAGACTCTTCTAGAAAATCACAAAGCTCAATCTCCCGTGGTGCAGGCGCTCTTGGAGCAACTTCCGCCCTAAGACCCCGAAGCAGAAACCCAAAAGGAGTGGCAGCCAAAGCGTGGCGGCCAGACTCGTCTTCAGGAGTCTTTCTTCCTTTCTTCAGATTCCTTCTCCAGGCTTCTGGGGTCCTACGGTGGACTCCTTGCTCGATCCTAGCAGGTCGCGGTCCTTCAAGGCATCTATCTCCATATCCTCGATCCCTTTCGGGGGGCGTCTGGAAGAATTCTCTTTCCCCCTGCCCTTGGACCTCCCGCTCAGAGCCCACCAGGCGCGCGAAGCGCCCATCAGCTTGATGCTCTTCTTTCCGTTTCCTTTGTACAATCGTGATCCCGATTTGGCTAGATAGGTTTTCCAGCCCCGTTCCGACCCGGTCCAAGGCGAAACAACGTTGAACCCAACATCCGCCACCAAGACCTCTTCCAACCTCAGGAAAACATCCCCAAAATGAACCTCAAGGTCGACGACCCCGGAAACGACGATCGCACCGCCCGAGGCGTTGAACAGATTGGCCGTTCGGTCGTACTTCTTGACAACACGAAATCCTGAGAGATGCTTGTCTGAAACAATGTGGCAGGTGGCTCCACTATCGACTAGCCACAGGTCCCCGGGAGTGGTCTCGAGGGCCTTGCACACATGAGCTACGTCGCCGTGCTTCAAAACACGGGATCCTAAGGAGCCCATGCACTCAGAACCTCGACTCTCCGACTCAGGCGACCCTTCGGGTCCAGAACCCGGCTTCGGAACTACAAGGGCTTCCGGCTCCGGTCTCTCAGGCTGGCTCAGAACACGGCGTTCGGAAGAAGAGGGCTCCGAAGAGCCTCGCCCCGGACAGGAAAACCTCATCGCCATCACGGTGGCGTTTCCTCCCGACTCTGCCTCTGACTCGGGCTCTGTCAAGGAGCGTCCCTTTCCAGGCTGTCCTTTCTTCTTCTTCTTTCCCTTCTTGCCTTGGTCCTTTCCCTTGTCGCTTTTGCCTTTGTCGCCCTTGCCCTTCTCGGAACCACGTGGCGTGCCAGATCCTTTCGGAGTCTGGTCGCCTTTTCCTTTTGGCTTTCCTTTGTCTCCTTTCCCTTTGCCTTTGGGAGCACCACCGCGCTCGTCCTTCTGACGCTGCCAACACTTCTCGGCTGTGTGTCCCTTCTTCCCGCAGTAGTCGCAAACCTTCTCCTGCAAGGCTCGGCCAGAAGAGCCAGGAGCCTCACACAGTCGCAGCTGCTCCTCGTAGTAAGTCAGCGTCTTCCGAAGAGCTTCCCAGTTCGAGCTGGACCCGTGCAGTACCACGTACTGACGCACTTCTGCACCCAAGCTCTGTAAGAGAACAGAGCAACGGTCCGCCTCAGACAACTGAAGCTCCGGAAAGTTGCTCAGCTTCGCCTCCGACTTGGAAAAAGAATCCTCAAGATGTCGAATCAAGTCGGTGGGCCTGTGCAAGTGCCCAACGTGCTGGTACAACTTCAACGACTGTTCTCGCACGAAGACGGCTTCCATACGGGAAACGATGGAGTACTGAGAGGTGATCGTTCTAACCACCTCGTAGCCGCAAGCGCTCTGCCCCTGCCTCTTCGAGCAGGACCTCAAGAGCTCGCTTCCCCGCTCCCACTTGGCGAGGGACTGAGTCAAGTAGTAGAACAGCTTGGAGCTCCGCGCTGCAGTGTCAGGATTCAGGTCAGCCTGCAGAATCTCCGTCTTCACAGGGATACAGAGCTGCAGTTCCCGAACAAACGCTTCTTCCTGCAGGGCAAGCCAGGAACTCAGCGTCTCCATAAAGGAGTGCCAAGTCTCTACCTCCTTCATGCGCCCTTTTCCCATGCCTTGGTGATCTATCACCGGAAGATTCGGCAAATACTTCTCTGCACGACCA